CTACAGCGAGCCTCTGCCTTGCGGAACTACACCGCAAGGCAGAGGCTCGTCATACAAGCTCACCGTCTTCAAACATTTCGCTTTATGCGCCGTCGTGATGGTATACTCTGCTTATCTGCCGTTTCGCATTTCGTTTCGAGTCGTCGTAGCATGCATAGTATAAAAAGCCACTAGAGTCATCCATGGTAACATCAAAAACCAGTATAGCATCTTTTATTGCCACCAAGGTTACAGCGTGATGAAACCACCACACCAAGCTGTTTGTTTCCTTCCATCGCTCCCGTACGTTGTTTATTTAAGTTCACGCTAAAGAACCCCAGGTCGAAACTTGCGGAGCTGTCTACGCGACATCTCGTATAACTATACTGTAGTTTTGGGACGTAATATCTTAACAATAATAATTATACCTATTTAGGGGCATGCTGGGAATGAAAAGAAGCGCGCAAAGACATAGGCACGCGAAAAAAAGAAAATAAGTGCCCATGCTTGTGTGCATAGTTCCGAAAATAGCATTTGGCAAGAACATGTTCTGTGTGCTCTATGACTGATAAAAGTCGCCTGCACCTCTCCAAATCACTAACAATATACGCGTGTATAAGTGTAGTCGGTGTTTGAGCACGGCGTATTTAAGTCATGGTTTTCGATGGCTACGCTGAGAGCGCTGCGTTCTGAAGAACGATTTAAATCTGAAAAAATCGGACGTGATTGAGTGCAAAAAGCCGACTAACGATGCTAGAACTTGACGTCTGAAATCAGCGCTTTCGCATTATGAATGCACAGATGCATAATTAACTCCGCTATAACCATAAATTGTTTAACGCGTGGTGGTTATCTCATATAGGATAAAAATTCAGTGACCGACGAGAGAATACAACATATGGTTTTGGTAGGCGCGCTGCGAAATATAGCTTTTATTATCAAGTTTTTATCGGTTATTTGGAAGGTCAGCATTTCGTTGATGTTATATCACTCTGATAAATAACGCGAGTGCAACTTTGTTCTCGAGTAATGAAATAACATTTGATAATTAGCGTAAGACAATGTGAGAAACAAAAAAAGTGAGCAACATGGTAGCTTTAGCGTACTCAAGTATACTGATATTTAGGACTTTCACTCCCACTTATAAATAAAAATACGCAAAATGGGTATTATTTCACTTCATCATTCCATTGCCAAGAAAAAAAAACCTCACCTCCATTATCTCCTCCGATGCATATCCGCGTCTTGAGAAAGAGAGGTTGTCACTTGGAAGTTTAATCAAGAAAAAAAAAACTCGAGTGGATCATTGGATTAAATGCTCAGGCGTGTGAACGCTTGAACAAACTAAATATCGCTTCGTAAAGGGCCCTGTTGTCCACCTATGCTTTTTCACGTATTTCTGCAAACAAAATCTTCTTACGTGCTCTTGGTGCTGTCGCTGTCTTGTTCTTGTTCGCATGTCGTATATGTCAAAAACATCTCGATTGCTTATCTTGATTTAGAGAAGCAGGTTCATTTACTTATGATAATCCTGTTTTTTGTGTTGTAACATCAGCGCCGTGATGACGTTTACCAACTTGTCATATATGTTGTGTGCTGGACAAAGGTAACTGGGCAGTGTGAAGACAGGAATGTTTTTACCATGTTTGTGATTATGTTATCGAAGAAGAGCCAGACGGTTAGAAAAAAAGAGTAGAGAGATTAAGTGATGCGTGGGCATTATTGTTCTAGCGTCCATCACGCGCTAAAAGTAGTTCTTGCCAGAACTGTGTAATAAATGAAGAAAAAAGCAGGGACTATGGAACGCACACGCACGCAAAAAAGGCAAAAAAGGTTACTGTAAACTTTTTTGAGAGAGGCCACATCGTACTGGTGTTAGAGTGAACAAAATGCGAAAATTAAAAGATGGAATAAGAGCTATGTGCTTGGCTCCATTAACGGCTGCGAGTGAAAGAGATGGATGGGTAATTTTGTTTTCATAAGCACCTGAAGATGTCTTTTGTTTACTACAAACTGCAGTTATGCCTATGTTCATGATCGCTAGGAAACATGTATATTGTGAACATGTTCATTCACCGAACGAACGAACATGTTCACAATAAGCATAGTTCTTAACGGTCAGCATTTGCGCCACTATTCGGGCGCTTTCGTAACTTTCGGTGTCCGATTTTCTAGGATCCTTTCGTTTTACGATTATACTGCTACATGCTTTGGTTGACAGAGCTTGAGATAAGTTTTATTCAATGCTGGCATCGCCTTCAAATTAAATATTTAGTTTTTTCTCTTTGGGCAACATACTTCGGTACAAATTATGTCCGCTCCGGCACTATCATTAATCGATTGCGAAAACCACGTTTCCTCTAAATATGGCAAGTTGGAAAAAGAATCGCACGGAGAAATAAAACACCTAAGAATTCGTCATACTCATCGGTGTTTCGGAAGGTCAGCTACATAGCTAAAAATAAATAACCTGACCTATAATCCACTGCTTGCTCTTCCAAGGTACGATTTAAGCGGTAGTTCTCGCCGCTCACATCGCGACTCGCAACAGCAATTTACTTGTGTTCGATAAGGGCGCTCCTCCGCATGAAGATTGTTTAGACAGCAGAGCACGCTTTACAGGCAAACTTTTTGTATGTGTGTGTGTGTGTGTGTGTGTGTGTGTGTGTGTGTGTGTGTGTGCGCGCGCGCGCGCGTTTGTGCGCGTGTGTTCGTGTGTGTGTGTGTGTGTGCGCGCGTGTGTGTGTGTATGAAAGCGAGAGAAAAGCTTAGGTAAGTGGGAGGGCTTATGAATATTTATGAATGGTTACGAAGAGCTAAAACCATGATTGGTTTTGGAAATCACTTTGCTTGCGGCACGCTTTGGCAACTAATCATTTACTAGCAAGTACGCTAGTAGGCGCGGCGATGTACACCAGATACTAGGGAATGTACAGGCTCCCTAAAACCATGCTGACAGCGCCTTCTCCCGCCTTCCACCTTGACTTTAATATCCAAAATTCTTATGGTGATGCGGGCATTTTTCTTGCATTCCAACTGAAAAAGACAGTCCTATCTCTGTCTAAGCACCATAACAGAAGCCAAACTGCAGAAGCCATACCGCTTAACTCTCACATACCTGACACACATGATAATTAAGTAAATGTGGAAATGCCTTGATGAACGTATGAATAATTTATTAAACAATCTTCACGTTCTGTCATCCCGAAACACTACCGAACGCAGTTTTTTTTAAATTGTAAATCCAGCAAAAATGAATGGTATCTACAAAAAAAAAAGAAACAGGCTCAGCAATGCACTTGATAACTTGGTAGCGTGGCAGAAAAGATCGCAGAATCAGAGATAAAAACTGTCTGTAAGATTTTAAATATGAGAACGAAAAATGGCTTTAATCATTGCAAGATGCCACCGTATAATGAACTAAAATCTCACAAAAACAAAAACAAAAAACAACCAGATATGCTCACTTATGAGGCGAATACGTTGTCAAATTGATTTTGCACATGTTAAACATCTAAGCACACAAAACATGGGAAACGTTGCGTACTTGTGCTCACTTTCTAGTAAGAATACTGCGTAATCCAGACGATGATAGCTCATTTAGGATCACCTGAGCTTCTTCAAAGTTTGATGCTTGTTTTTCACTTAAATAATAGTACAATATTAGCTGTGAATAAGCACACTGCGACATTCCCTTATGACATGGGTTATCTGTAGATTTCCAGTCAGTAAAAGACGCACACACTAAATACAACTGAGGGACTAAAAGTCATATAATAAATGTAGGCGAATGAATTTGAAGTGATAATTAGTGATTAAGAATAATAAATTCCAAAATAAACAGAAACAAAGAGGAATTTCAGGGTAATCACACGTGAATGAAAATAGTGACGATGTGCAAGAGAATCAAGTGTGAATGACTACCTGCGTGACCTACTTATGACTTGTGGAACCAGTGGTAATAACTAGGTGACCGAAAGAAAATAAGTAATACAAAATAACAACGGAATCGACGGAGAATGTCAAAGAGGTTTAATGAGCGTCTCGTTAGAGCATAAACGTTTGCGTGTTTGCCTTTTAGGATTAGCTGAAGAGGTTGTAACGCTTTTTAAGGGCTATCATACGAAAGCTGTTGGCAGCCGTTTAAAATTCATCCGCTTAATATGTCATTCCACGCTCGCACAAAGAAGTAAGAGCATCTTTTGATGAGGTGAGGGCTCCGACTATTCGCAGTGGTGTTTTTAAGCATCCATTTTTAGGTATACACTTGAGCTGTATAAGAAATTCACCCACTGGGCCATTGTGTTCCGTGTAGATTGCTTTATGCTAAATAGTCTCATATGGCGAATAATGGGCAATGTATTTCACATCATGTCTCGATGGCAGCGGAAGAACGAATTTTAAGCCTCATGTCAGCGTCACGGTGCTGACATGACAATGTGCCCACACAAGACAAAAGAGGTGAGGGTAAATTGCGGGAGCATTGCCATTCATTGCTGCTACGACGACAGACTCCAATGCCGCCACACGCTTGTGCTTAACACCTGTCTAAGGTTCCATGGCAATAGCCTGGGACAGCATTCGAAGAATAAAGCTTGCGAGCAAGGGCGGCGGTTGCTTGTAGACATGGCGTCGGACACCGTTCGAATATTTACTTCTTTTTCTCTTCGTCTTTGCACGTTTCAGCCTCTCCATCGTGGTTGTTGCCTGACATCAGCTCGTGTTTTGGAGGCTCTTTTGGATTACGTCTGCTCGGCTGTCACAGTTTATTTTGCCTTTCCCGGCTGTTCAATTTACGTGTCCTTGCGCTGGGAAAACTTCGTAGCGCCCACACAAACGTTGGCGCACGAACTCTGTCGCAATGTGCAAGCCGTTTGACCAGGCTCGCGCAAGGTTTACGTAAGCGAGTCACTTCGCAGTGGTCCGGCCTTTCGCCTGTTGGGCACTGTACTATACGTTTGGTGTTTTTTACGCGCAGCTGGTTCTCACAATTTCTTTCTTTCTTTCGTCTATTTACGCAGGGTTTCCTGAGAATATACAAGCAATTCTTTCCCCGAGGAGACCCTTCCAAGTTCGCATCACTCGTGTTCAGGGTATTTGACGAAAACAAGGTAAACGCATCAAGTGTCTCTTACTCACAATACATGTACTTTACAGCCTCTACGCATATTTTTTGTATTTCTTGTATATTTTAAATTGAGATTTAAAATATGTGCTTGCAGAACTATGAAGTAGTATGTGCGTTGAAACACTTACTTGAGACAATATTATTATTTTAGTTGAAAGCTAATCTCCGTTATTTAATTCTGCTTAGTTATTGTAGGAACAAGCAAATTACTGAACATTAGTTATAATGTTTTCTAGCAACTAGCCGAGGTCGCTTAGCGGCTGTAAGGTGTTTTGCTGGTGAGCTCCTGAACGCGAGCCAGACTCTTGTCCATGGCTGCCCTTTTCGATGTGGGTGAAGCGCAATAAAATTCTTGTTTATTTTGATTCAGGCTCACGTTAAAGAACCCCAAGTGTCCAAAACGATTGCGGGGTCCGCCACTGCCTTGTGTTTCGTAATTTAGTCAGAAGTATGGCACGTAAAACCTTCTGATTAAATATTTTTATAACAAAGAAATGAGTTAAACGATATGGGCTCACTTACTACAACCTTCAGAGGGCTGATTTTTTGTTATTGTTCTTAAACAATTTAATTATTTGCCTTTTAGCATTGTTATGGTTCTGCTGCACAACTTGATGGCGGAACTGCTGAGGGAAGTTGTGGTGACCGCATTCCACTTGGGGCATGTTGCACCAATTTTTCGGGAACTTTGACTTCGATGCTGGTTAAAAAATCCAACGTTCACAATAAAATTAGCAGTTCATTCCTTGTCAACTTTGCGATTTTTTAACGTAGAAGATTGAAACAAGCGTGTTTTCTTTTCTGTCTTACGTGTGATGTTCGAAAGCACGTGACATTCACGTTATGACTTTCCCGCCACGCGCTGCCACTTTTTTTATAGATTTCCAGACATTCTCGCTTACCATTTTGTCAGTTATATTGCTTGAAAACATTGCGTCGCTTTTGTCGTTAACGATTCATGTTTGGTTTTCTTAAACACAGTACTAATGTGTTAAAACTGCTTATCAATCATTTTATTAGTATTATGACCGGGATGAGGTATTGATAGAGACTACGTAATGTGATGCAAAATCGGGTTTCTGAAGACAACGTTGATTCTGATCAACGCGTTAAAGTCGACATTAAGGCCCGGTGACCTGAACTGAACACGTTGAGAATGAAAGTGAGTGATTTACTGAGGCGAAAACACTTCAGAACAGAATACATAATTTACTGCCATATCTATGATGAATAAGGTGAACATAGTGATATGCCACTTTGTTGAATATAGCAAATTGGGTGCCTAATTTACGATTCTACTGAATCATAACAGTACTTCGTCACTGATCGGTTACCTTCACTGACATTCAATTATTCATCAAAATAGGCTGTACACCATCCCACTCATAACTGTCATACTTACGAACAAGATGCATTAGATGTTTAAGAGTACTATTCTTTGGGTAAGTTGGTTACTCAAGTAAAAAAATTTACAGCGCAGAAAGGACGCTTACTAAATTTAACACACGACAAATAAAGTGCTGACGACAGAAATTTACTGAAGGAAACAACAAATTTGAAATCTCACCTGACAAAAAATAACCACATAGCATTGAATATCTACCTAATTTGCGACTGTAATGCACAATACAAGAACGCAAGTTTTTTTTTTTTCGGTCAAAGGAAAAGATGCCACACTTACAGTTACGTTTGCTGAGAGTGGCTTCGACCCACCCCTCAGCACTGGTACAGAAGAGACTTGCTATCGGGATTGTCGCACGGGCTGCAATGAATGTCTAAGTGGCCATTTTTCGTTTGGCGAACGTTATTGTTATGTTCGCCCAGCCACTCACTATCTACCGGCTTGCCCGACATAGCGGGCTAAGCGCGTAAGGGGAAACTCGTACAACACGTGTTCCGCCCATGTCATCCAACACGTGCAGTGTGCCCCTGAGGGACATTATCTTGAAGGCTAGCCAAGACGGCTCCTGAAAGGCGCAGAAGGCTACACTCACGTCGACGCATTCCGTAACTATTTTGAGGCCATGAGACACGCCGTGAGTGTACGGTAGAATGACTCTTTCAACAGTGAAGCTATAAATGCGATGCATCTTAGAGTCGAGCTGAACTCGGTGTGTGGCTGACCACCTTCACTGCACATGCGCGGCCCCCTCTCTCCTATCATACTTCCCCTCCTCTCGTCTCGCAGTGGTGGTGGTGGTAGTGGTTAGAAGATGAGGAAAGGCACCTAATTTCTGCAACCCGGTCGGGAGCGCGGCGCAGTGCCTACTCGCAGTGGTGGTGGTGGTAGTGGTTAGAAGGAAGAGGAAAAAGGCACCTAATTTCTGTCTGAGGTAGACAGCGTCTGCTACTCTACGCTCGCTTCCCCTCTCTCTCTCTTTTACGCATCTCTCCCCGCGGCGTTTACATTTCCATCGCACATGGATGTCCTCTCCCTTTTTCGCTCCTCCCTCTCTCGCCTCGCAAAGCCGACTGCTCGTCTACGCTCGCTTTCCGCAGCGCCTGCACCCCATTGCGCATGCGCACCTCCTCTCCTCCTCTACTATGGTCTCCCCTTTCCGCATCGCAACGCAGACGTGCGCAGCGTCCGCAAGCGAGTTTCTTCATTGAAAAAAACCGGCTGCTCGCACTTAATAATTGTTCACTGGCCACCCCGTATATTGGCACTGGGCCTCAACCTCCAAGGTGGTGCCGGTAGGAAACTTGTACTGTTTTTTGTTAAGCAATAAAAATTCGCAGCGCGCACGTTAATTAACAGTAGACAGTGGGTCTCATTGCCAATTAGGCGCGATTGTCATGTTCCAGTAGGAAACACTGGTTCTTCTCTGCGTGCTTTGCGCTTCCTCAGGTTTCTTTCCTACGCAATGACGCGATGAGCGCCAGCGTCAACGCCGCTGCCAGTGTAAGCGTTAGCACACGCTGCTTCGCATCTGCACATGGTTCCTTTTAGCGGGAGAAGGTGTAATTTTTTAATATGCCGGTACATTATGATCCGTCATGAAAAACGTCATCATCACCATGATCTGGCACGTGCTTTATTAAGTTTCTTCATAGTAAAGCTGTTTCAGCTATCGTCAACTTGTCCTCCGTCATGCAAAACTCCTCAGTTGTGAATACGCCACAGGTATTAGACAAACCCTAGAATCAAGTACAGCAGGTACGAGTGTCAAATGAAAACGAACACGAAAAAGCATGAGAGAGAGAGAGAGAGAGAGAGAGAGAGAGAGAGAGAGAGAGAGAGAGAGAGAGAGAGAGAGAACAAGGAGAAAGGCAGGATGGTTAACCAGGGCTGAGCCCTGGTAGGCTACCCTGCACTGGGAAAGAGGAGAGGGGAAGGAAAGTTATAGAGGAGGAGAGAAAAGGTCACTGACTGGGCCGACGCGTAACAGTCTCACCATCACAAACGATGAAACAGGCCGGCGTCTTTGAGAAAATGCAACAGTGTTTCGTTGCTTTTTTGAAATTGGATGGGCAGTGCCATGGTCTCAGTACTTTCTCGACAGTGAAATCACTTCTGTCCAGTTGATTAAAACACGGTACAGGTGAAGCTTCTCGTTTGTGTATGCCGGACAGTAACATAAGATGTGTTCAATATTCTCATTGACGGCGCAGTCGTTGCACTCCGCGCTGTCGGCCATCCCTATCTTAAATGAGTAGGCATTGGTGAAGGCTACGCGCAGACGCAGATGGCACAACACTGTACCTTTCTCCCTAGAAAGACCAGAGGGTAGCCGCAGTCGAAGAGATGGATCGAGAGAATATAGTGAATGATGTGCGAACTGTGATGACTACCACTTCTGGAGTGTCATGCCCTGCGCCAGCTTACTTAGGTGCGCCAGCTTACTTAGCTTTCTAGCCGAGTCAATCCTAGATAAAGGTACGGACACAGGGTTTGTTTGCACGTGTGCATTTCTAGCTGCTTCATCGGCGAGGTCGTTGCCGGAGATACCGCAATGACTAGTTATCCACTGGAACACAACGTTGTGTCCTTGTTTGGTCGCATAGTGCAGCATTTCTCTGATCTCCCATACCAGTTGTTCGTACGACCCGCGACGAAGTGCCGACGAAATACATTGTAAGGTAACAAAGACATCACAAGATAGGAAGACATGGAACGAGAGAACAATAGATAGAAAGAAACACATATACAGAAGAGAGAGAAATAGGAAGAAGGAGATGAAAAAAGAAAAACAAGGAAAGAGAGAGAGTAGCAGAGAGAGAGAAAAAATAAAAGGGAGAGAGAAAGATATCGAAGCAGAGAGAAAGGTATAGAAGACGAAACGATAAAGCGAGAACGAACGGCGAGCAATACAGAATGAGAAAAATGAAGAAAAATAAAGGACAGAGAAAGAAAGTCACAGAGAGACGGAAAGGTCAAGAAAAATAAATTGACAGAAAAAAAAAGTAGTAAATAGAAGGAATTGGATACGAAAAAGGAGATACAATAAGCAGAGTGAAAGAAATAGAAAGAGAAGAAATGAAAAAAAAATGTATACAGTTGCACTTAACGTGAAAGCCGTAGGAAGCGTGAAGCGATTCGCTTGCGCTTCAGCGATGCTCCCGTTCACAGTCAAGGAAGCGCTGGTGTTGCAAACATGCGCCCGGCTCGGCGTCCATGGTGGGAAAGGAGACCTTCATTTGTGATGCGGTGTCATCCTCTGCCCACCTTCCCAACCACACAGCTCTCCTTTTTGCCCTCACTTCCTTCCCCTTTCCACCTCGCTGTGCTGTACAGCAAACGCGGCGTCAAATGTTTATTATAACGACTGGTATGTGCAATTACTCGAGGTAACCACGTCATATCGCGACAAATCTGGTCTCTAAATATAATGTTGGTGCCGATATACGCGTTTGAGTCGACATAAAGCTGACATGACCTGAACTGAAGACGTTGGAAACGAAAGTATGTGCGTCACTTAACCCTAAATGGTCCTGTTTCAGTCTATGAGCACCGTACTTAACATGACCGTACACCCCGCCCCACTCTCCTCTTTCCCCTCCTTCTCCTGCTGCTCACTTCCTTTTCCCACCACTTGCTGTAATGTATAGGGCACCGTGTGCCTAGAGTAGCCTGCTCTTTCCAGGTGGTTGACTTGCTGCGTGAAACAGTCATGCAGGGAATGCACGCACGGAATTTTGAGAGAATGCGCAATGCAGAGTCTAACGATTCCCCTCTTTACCTATTTTGAATGCACTGACTGGTACAGCAAGACCAGGTTCCACTCATGCGGTGCATAAGACCAGAACACCGTATCATGCCGACGATGCAGTGAAAGATGCAGGAATCCATTTCTAGGTTTACGATAGCATAAACGTGGACGTGTTGGTCACACATAGTAAAACACACCAGAAACAACGATGGGGACACCGGAAGAAATCTCATACAGCGTCGTGTGCGTTTGGTATAACTGTGTCCCCGTCGTTATTTGCGCTGTGTGTTTTACGATTTCTTGGCGTTTCAGTTCGGTGGTGGTGATTACTTTAATATTGTCAGTGACGTCTTAGCTGCTTTCAGTAATCACTTACAGCCTGTAGTTATCACACTCGAAAAATCGGGAAATGGCTCGATGTGGTGAGTGTGGCATCTCTTGTTTTGAACGAGAAGAACTTGGGTTCTTGTCTTGCGCATGAAAGTCACAGTTGATGTATAGGTAATCATTCTCATGTGGTTATTTATTTTTCACGTCTCCTTTTATAATATGTTGCTTACCTGAATGGATTTCTGTTGTTAGTTGGCATTTCATTTGTTATGTCGTCACTTTCATTCACGTTTTTTTTCTACGCTGTAGGTTTCTTGACATTACAGGTTCACTTTTACCTATACGAATTTAGTTTTATTATCACTGCTCAACATCACAGGTCCAGATGTAGAAACCCTGGTAGGGAAAACACACGACCGCTGTTTTACAGCGCAGCGCTGACTCGCTGTACTTAGTGTGAGTGTTATTCTCACACAGTCGTCTTTCTATTTTTTTAAGCGATCGTGCACATTGACCTTTCCAGTCAGATAAGTAGTAGTGTGCAGTGTAGAGTACTAGCATGTGGTAACATGTGTGAGGAGATCTGGCGACGTTGCCCTTCATAATTTTGAAGAAGTGAGGATGGTTTCTTTTTGTAGTAGACTATGTGATGAAGACCGCCAACACCATTTTTGCTTCAGAAAACCACCTTGGTCATCTTAGCGTGCGAGAGTGCATATCGCGAAGAACAAAATGCACTCATTTATGATTGGGTAACAGGGCGAGGCTTCTTGTAAAAGCTTGAAACTTTGGCTTATAAAGGGACGCAAAGTACGCTTGACATTGACTTAAAGAAAATGTATTCAAACACAATCTGTCTTTTCGTCGTTGCGAAAATGTCAAATGAACTTTGTGACATTTATGTTCAGATGTGACCACATGTGACTGCGACCGAAAGTTCCCATATTGTGCTGTTTGGGACACGGAAACACTCTTCGGCCGGGAGGCATGTGGGCGTGGTGCCTGCAGTGGCGTCACGCAGTGCGCAGACAGAAAGACGTATATTACAACGCAGGCACGTTTTGTAAATACGAGCGCCGTTACATTCGGCCTCGCTATGTATAGTCGATGCGTGATTGCCATTTCGTTTCGATTGCTATGGAATAGAACAAAGAAAAATCAGGCTTGGTTTTTTTCTCGCTCGTTGAGGTAGAATATCGCAGCTATAAGAAATCAAAACAGATGTAAAAAAAACTGCGTGATCGAAATTTCTTCGTGTGGGGATCGCCGTAGTCATCTAACTTCATACAACAAGTCCTAATTCGATAGCTGCACTGCAGACGTGCTCAGCTTACTTGCCGAAAACGCTGCTCGAGTGCTGTCACGCTTCCATCTACATACGAGACTGCCCTGCTATTGTCTGCGCGCCCTGATATTCGCAAGCTTCTGACAGCGAGGTACAAGTTGAGAAGTTTTGTACTATTGGCGTGCTGCCAGAACTGAATAGTGTGAAATATTTTACGTGCTTTTCTTTTTTTTCTCCTTCGTATCTCAAGTTTAATATTGTTTTTGTTTTCAATCTCCAACAATTGTCAGCTGAAGTTGTTTTTTTTTCCTTTCCAGGACGGTTCCATAGAGTTTGAAGAGTTCATCCGAGCGTTGTCGGTAACGTCAAGAGGAAACGTCGAAGAAAAATTATTATGTAAGAAATGAACTTTTCCCTCCTGTTTTTTAATTTATACTGCAAGTGCTTACTCAATGTTCAAACCTGCACTCTAGCGCTGTCACGGGAACAAACCATAAGGGGCTTGCGAGTGAGTGCAATATAGACTAAATAGATGGCGTAGATATTTCTCCACCTACATCATTTCATTCCGCATTGCTTTCGGGCCGATTGAGTGAATGAGCGAAATATTGAACATGCTTAATATTTGGCCTGTAAGAAAACATTTACTTTTTTGTATACAAGCTTTCCATTGTTATTCTCTGCATGTTTAGAAGAAGTGTTTAAACGACTTGATTAAGATGCAGGATGAAAGTGGGATGAGAATTAAGTGAGCATACCCTAACAGTTTGCGGTTCCAAGCCGACATCGTACTCTTCAGCTATGACGGCGCCACATCGCAAGAAAAAAAAAGAAAAAAGTATTGATGATCTAAATTGAGAAATCACGAAAGAAGGACTGAAGATGAGTCTGCAGAAGAAAAATAATATAAGGAGGTCTGGCGAGAGTGTGAATTCGTGATAGACAATCGACCCGTATAATTAGAAGATTATACGTATCTGTAGGTTATATACCAACATGTGAGCTTACTCTTGAGAAGGAAATCTTCCGAAGACTAAAAATCGGCTGGTTCGCATACAGTAGACATTCTCAACTAAATATCAGAAACTTACCACTGCCTCTAACGCGAATAGTGTGCATTATATTTTGCCATTTTTATCTTAAGGGGCAAAAAACCTAAAAAAATTGCCCGCGTATCTCCAAGCGTTGGTGCAGAGGACGTCAAAAGACAATAGTCATCTGTCTAGCCGCGCTGCTTGAGATAATGCGCCTTCTGGCAGTAATGTGAAAAAGCGAATGTTTTTAGAGCGCAGAGCTACTAGTAGGTGACAGCATTGGGTCGTTTTAGTTAAAGCCCGTGAAATTTTGAGCGAAGCATAGGAAACACCCACTTTTTCGTTAGTTGTGTCGCATTGTGAGCGCAGCGTAATAAACACTTCAGTCTTTAGAATTATGAATCTACTCATTTTCTAAATAAAAAGACACACTAGCTAGCACTTATGTATTGTTGTTCCACCTCAAATATGCGTAATATTTGCTTCTTGATTCACAATGTTCACAAGTATGTACGCAGCCACAAGATCAAGAACAGTGCGCTTTGAGCTAGGGCTTAAACTTTCGCTGGATGGCTGAATGGTTAGAAAAACACCTACAGACTGACCGAAATGTTTGCTTTCAACTATCCCAAGGAAGACAATAGTCTTTTAAAAATAACTTGTAAGTAAAGGACTCCACAGCGGTTCATGAAACGAACGATTCAAGCGATTCTCTGAGAGAGAGCAATGCACTGGATGCATTGCTCTCTCTCAGAGTTACGCTTGAATCGTTTGTTTCATGAACCGTTGCGAAGTCCTTTACTTACAGGTTATTTTTTAAAAGACTATTGTCACAGTGAAAGCCACAAGAGCGGCCTTTCAGAGCCTTTTCTAAACACTCTTTGGGTAACTGCTACAAGCACACTGCTGGGGATCCACTACGCCATAAATGATGATACTTTTTGTCTAGTAAGCCAGCATTCACTATGCTACCTATTCTCATTCTTTGGAGAAGTGTGGTAACCGCTACACAGTTGTTAGGAATTTTGTGCAATTTTTTATGCAGTGCCTGACGACGATGAAGAATTATGCCTGAAGTGGGTATGCGCCACAGTTAATAGGAGATCAAGAACAAGTTCTCGAATAGGGTTGGAGCATCGGACGACCAACTAGTTAGGCAATTTGCATTGTGCGAGGCCTGGCTGTTCCTTTCATGTTCTAAAACGCTTTATTGCCCATATTAACGCAGTTTGTTTCCCGACATTAAGCCTGCCTAAAGACGCCACGCGTGACCCATGTTCTGATCTCATGACAGCTTTTGCTGTAAAACAAATAAGGGTAGCTGGTATCCGAAGAGGTATTCAGAATAAATAGATGTACCAGGGTGGGCCACGTCTTCCGATAGTCAGTTTGAGGGTTGAAAGGGGTGCAAAAGATTGCAAGCTGGTCGAGTATGTCAAAAGCTTTGGTAGAGCAAGAAAATTGAGAGATTTTGTAGGTGTCAGATGGAATCAGCTGGTTCAAATAAGATAGTGTTGGGTACAATTGGAAAGGGCCTACGTCATGTGGTTCATGTAGTGGCATAACATGTGCTGGCTAAGATAATGAATATCGAGTCTAAAAAGTGATTCAAAGCATGCCCTTTGACAAGTTCAATGATGTTCGCTTCGACGAGCCCGTTTGCACAGATTTATCCAAGGTTGACAGAAGACAGCTTCCATTTTTCGAAATGGACTGAAGGTCCTACTTAAATTACAGCTGCATATTGCTAGTGCTGTCACTTCTGTACAGGGCGTGGCATATGTTACACCATAACAAAAAAAATGTACCCTATGAACGCTTTAATTGTGCCGAAACGACGCATTTGTCAATGAGATAGTAATGAAGTGTGCCGCACGGAACTTCTGAATAGTGTGTTTGTGAGTACTTATCTGTATACTATATGTTTGCTTTTTGTGACGGCAGGAAAATGTGTAATAGATGAGTAGTGTCGCTTCGTTCTCTCCTTGAATGCATTCTCAGAGGTTTTCCTGGTGAAACTGTGGCCTCATTGAAGTATTAGTTCCTTCCTGTCTCCAGCTCTTAACACATTGTTCATATTGAAGCAAAAAAAAAAATAAAGTGTAGCTATTGCCCAAGGGGCGTTTCCCAGTGAAGCACAGATGAAAAATGACCTTTCGTTTTCTACTATAGTGTTTATAATAGTGGCGTGTGGTTTTTAAATCATAGTATGATACGTAAACACGAGGGCTGTCTGAAACTGTTTTTATTACTATTACTAATAGTATTAAATTACATTTTTAGCACTAGTGATTCTATATTGTGCTATATTGGATTGCAATATGTTCCATCCATTTTATTAATTGCTCCGAAGGTCTTTCATCAAGTGTCTCAGTGACCAAGTAACTTTCTCTAAAACATTGTGTCATTTAATATATGTGAATCGTAGCTATTCACTGCTGTTTATTCCCTGCAATAATTTTTTATCGTAATGATCATTGAGTAGGACACACTCCAGATCTAAAATGCCCAAAATAATAAAATTATCCTGAGGTATTACATTCGCTTTATGCAGCATGTTTTCTGTTTTAGAGCAAAAGCTGTTGTGAGATCACAGCTAGGGTTGTGTGCGCTGTGGCAGTGTCCCGCCGCCCTGGGTGTCCTAACCATCATAAGATGCAAAATAAAAAAAACAAATAAATTGAAACACTAAGGACACACCAGGATTTGAATTCAGGTCCCCTGCGTGCCAGCCGAGTAGTCTAAACCACAGAGCCAAGCCGGTGCTTGAACCTCCGTTGCAAACTGGCCTTAGGCAGGTTTGATGTTGGCAAAGAAATGACGTTGATATAAGTGATAAAGCGTTTTAGAACAGCTAAAAAACAACGAGGCTTCACACAGTACAAATCGCTTAACGAGTGGGCCATCGAATGCTCCGCCCTATTACAAAAGCTTCAGGCCTAATTCATTATCGTCAGCCAGGACATCAAAAAATTGTGCAAAATTTCTTCCAAGTATGTAGCGGGTACCGCGTTTTCGCGAAGTATGACGAAGGGTGGCATAGATCTTTCAGCGTGGGTATGTGTCATATTTTACACGAATCAAATCAAATCATTGCCTCCGTAGTACACAAAATTATGATTAATGGTGTATACTCTGTAAGTGTGTTTGTAGCAGTTACCCAAAGTGTGTTTGAAAAAGGCTCTGAAAAGCCGCTATTCAAGCCTTCGCCGTTACTGTGCTGCGCCTTCCGCGCAGGCCTGGTGTTTTTTTGGGAAACGTAGTATACTCGGCTGTGCCGCTTCAATCGACAACGAACCATGCCCTTTATTATAAGAATAGAAGCGAGTGTGTTAACACGACTTGTTTTTCTTATTGTCATACGGGATATCTTACGTGTTCGAAATGCAAAACGCAATACATTTTCTGCATAGATCAATTCAATGATGACACAATGCACTCACACGTCTCGCCTAAGCTGCACTGTTTCGCTGTACAGCTTAAACTCGTATGTGCAGTAAAACTTGACAGCAGCTTCTTCGGCTGAGAACTTACGCCGTTTTTTACCAGTCATACTTTTTTATTGCGATAGCAATTGTAGGTGCACTCAAAGTGAAAATGTGCGTTCACCATTGCGGTAAGGTTCTGCATAAAACTTACTGCGTAGGTATGTATAGTTTCGCACACCACACACGGTACACTCTGCGTTCAAACGAAATCGTGATGAACCGTTTTCGCGCGCCGGGCAGGAATGGAATTAAGGGAAGTGCGCCGCTATGGCGGAGAGGAGTAGTTAGGCGCAGGGTAGGGACCGTTGCGGTGGTCAAGTGGTAGAGCGTCCACCTACAATCGTATGAAGTTTTATTCCAAGCGCCACAAGGAACGTGCCAGCTGTTCCAGTAGAGAGGGAGGTACACCTGTTTGGTGTTCAGTTGAAGGGTTGGGGTTACTACAGAGCGTTGGCTCTCTATTATCTTTCACAACCCTCACCCCACGACGTACTCTCTTGGGGTCTGCAGAAGTGTTAGTGGTTTTAGGAGAGGCACGATGTTTACTTTTTCAACCTGTAAGCTCATTTCCTAACCTCAAACCACTATCTAGCGAAAGGGGAGGCAAGAAAGCGTGCCTGCTAGAAGGGAGGAAGGTGAAGCGTGCGTCTGCTCCTAAAGTCAGCCCGTAAGGTAGCGGCGGTGCCGCTTCTTTGTGCTGCGACATTAATAAAGTAGGGCTCACGGCCTATGTCGCAAGTAAATCAGCGATGGTTCTAAAGGCTTAATACCCAGCCGATAGGACTTGTCATTTCGTGAGCTGTGTATATGAGTCCCTAACGTTGCAGCTCGGTTATTCCTTAAAATCCAGAGGCATTTGTTCTCTTCTGTATGCAATGTTGATGACGCCACCACTGTAAAAGCCAGTGTTCGTGGTCATCGAGTGAAGGGCGTTTGGGCATGTCTGTGCGCATGACAGGATGATGGTTACGTTAATAGGGAACGAATGTATTTGGTCCGGCGAAACGCGACAGGGCCAAACATGTTGGAACGAGTGTCTCGCCTAATAAATCAGCGAAATTTACTTTCTGTAACTGCCTAATGAATTACAATCGCAAGAAGGGCTTCGCCTTTCCATTAAAAGTGTGCCAAAATTTTTTTGCCACATATTCATCCTAAATTTCCCAAGTGCAGTATAAAACAAGTTTGATGCGTTCTACATGTAATATGTACCGAAATGGTATCAGTCGTTTAGCGCACTCAGAGGAATAGCAAGTGCAGCCAAAATACTGTGACAACAACCAGGTAATATTATATTGAGCCCCCTAGGTCAAGCTGCTTCACACGCATTGCTAATGATGGCCTGCGTTGAACTTATTTGGCCCTAGCTTGTGCACAACTATTCATACCCTTTCACGTATAGTTCGCGTGGAGCCAATTACAATCGTGAAGGAATTTAAAAAATATATGCGAGAAGAAATATGCGAATTGGCTGTAGATTTTTTCGTGGACGTGAATTTAGTTTTAGTTCTATATCACTGATTAAACGGGTGGCCTCTCGGAACAAACGCTCGCACTCTGCAAATGTCAATAGGGGGATAGGTTATTGGTGCACGTCACCGTGGAACCACAGACAGAAGTGCAAGTGAAATGTTTCCAGCTCGTAATCGGACTTTGTGGGCTGTTAACAGTTTTTAAAGACAAAATCGTACTGATAGTTCGACGTGTGATAGTTTTATGGGTCTACGCTGATTGGCTTCTATATAGACTTTTTTCAGGCTTGTTTTGGCCTGCCTCACCACCTGTTTTTTTTTTACAGGGGCGTTCAAGCTGTATGACGTCGATAATGACGGCTTCATCACACGAGAGGAGATGTACAACATTGTAGATGCTATATACGAAATGCTGGTGAGTGTGCAGCCAGTACTCGATGTAAACAATAGAGTCAACACATTTTACTTCATTACTGTTGCTTGAATTATTGGTTTGAATTATACGCCAAGATTTAAAACCAGTGCTTTATTCATTTTGTTTGTTCAACCCACTGTTCCACAGCAGCAGTAGCAAGCAACTAATTCTCCTTTGAGAGAGTACTTTGTTGTCCCATATTTCACTCTCTTTTACAGAGTAAATAGCCTCTTGTTGAGGCAGAATACAGTGATTCCCTCATAACGGGTGAAAGCACTCCGCCTCAACAGAGTAATAAAACGCTGCCCTTAAGCAGGGTAGCTTAACCCTACCGAAGAAAGTAGTAGTACACCACACGAAAAAAAATTGCAGAACTTGAGCTGAAACTGGGTTTTTTAATGATTTTCTACGGATCTCCGCGCGCGCGAATCGTAAAGATGGCTAAATATGAGCACTAAGATAAAAATAAAGAAAGTAAATTCTAAAAAAAACACGACTTAGTAGAATTTGAACCTTCGACTTTTAGATTTAGACGCACTGAAGATTGCCAGCCCGACTTGCTAACCACTACGCCACACTTAAAGAGGTTAAATGAGTCCTTCTCTCTTTATGTCATGAGTCATTTTGGTGATTTGTCTGAATTTCCTTGCTTACAAGTGTATAATTGAGTGTCTCCGCGCTTCTCAAAACCAGCCGGACTGTAGCTAACGCGTTCACTGTGTTTGTTTTGTGCTTCATGAGATCAGAACGTCTATCCAACACGTTTTTCACAGTAGAAAAAAGAATATTGCGCAACCGATTGTATGAACGTCATTTGCACTGACTCTTTAAGTGGTAAGTCATTGGTGCCTACGAAACATCGCGCACCTGAAGTGCACACTTGACAATTTTCTTTTTTTTTCACCCCCTTAGACATAGTTTTGTCATTCTTGTCCGCGTTCCATGATTAAAGCCACAATACTTCACTGTAGCCATACGATACGCTAGGCTTACGACACTATCACCCGTGTGTGATGGTCACAGCGAAATACATGAAGAATAATGCCAGGAGAATGTCAAAGCCGTTTGCGTTGACTTTCAATCGTGACCGATTAAACGAAATAGTATTCGCTTATTTCACTAGACAGATCCGAAGCTAAAAACGTTGATATTAGGAGTTCAAAGTGCCTTCTAGCACGCTGAAATTCACTGGCGCGCGGTGAGAACGCTGTTCTTTTTGTAAATCGTCTCTAACGCCTCAACAAAGAAATGCAGTACGTTTTACTGCATATATGTGTGGTTAATCAGTAGTGATAATTACTCGAGGTGTGTCGACGCATATGAAAGTACTCAAGAGCGAGATTATAACCGCCTTTTATTCTGTCATGCCTGAAGAGTACTTGGACATTCTACTCTCTGAAAAATAGGTAGAGTAAAAAGTTGTTTCACTCTCTCGTTTCATACAGAGTGAAAATTAATTTTGCCATATCTGATATTTTTCGACAGTAGAAGAACACTCTGAATGCTACTTTGACCTCTTTACTCCTGTGATATTCTCCGCAGTTTTTAGAGTGTACTGTTGATAACCTTCTATTTGGTATTCCATAGGCTCATCAGCTCTGTAGCCCATCTGTTATACGTTGCACCGCTTTGTTATCGCATATATTATAAAGGGGCCATGGACCCCTCTCAGGTTTGGTGAAAAACATTCTGCGAAAAGCAGACATTGCTCTGAACTGCTCATCGGAATATTGCATGCAGTCTTGTGCACCAAGGAGAGTTTTGAAGCAGAGCGTGCACACGAGAGAGAGAGAGAGAGAGAGAGAGAAAGCGAAGAGCAAATGCAGGGTGGTTAAGCAAGCTTTGGCCTGGTTGGCTACGCTACCCGTAGGATGGGGGAAAGGGGGAATAATCGACCGGATAAAGAAGTTTCCGTTCTCTCCGCAGACGACTTTTTTTTTTTTTTTCATACAGAAACCCGTGTTCACTCACATAGGAGATGCTGGCGCCAGCTGTTTGGCGTAGAACAGCAGATAGGTTGCTATTGGCTAATAGCCGACATTAATCAACAGCGGTGTTTGGATACGATGCGCTTCTTGCCACGGGGTGCCGTCACATGCCGGCGCCACGCGCCATGGCCTGGTAATATTACGTAGTGGCCACACTTGCTTGTACATGAATCAGAGAGGGAGAGTGTGATCGCGTTCCATTATGCACGTAAAAGTCGTGTCGCTCGCTGACGTAGCTTCTCCCCTCCGTGCCATCTCGCCTTGTGTAGCTACCAGCCCACTCATCAGCGCAAGAGCGAAAGCGCTTACACGGTGCTACATATCCTTTTAGTTCCGCTCGTTCTTGATGAATCAGAGGAATTTTTGTGGCATTCGATTCTTAAGGCAATGAACAGCGATACTTAGTCCTATGAATACTTGGTCCAGGACTAGCTTAAGGTAATTGGCTTACTGTTTAACACGGATTCTGCCCTACCATCTGTCACAATTTCTTGATCCACCCTTCCTTGCAGTGCATAATAAACAAGACTAAATGAAATTAACCTGAATCTCCGCAGCACGCCTTTTCCCATGAGCAGTGTGTTTTAGGATGATAACGCCACCAGTCATGCCTCACTGACTCACGTGATAAATGCGCGAAGTTGCGCTGCTTTTTGTTAGTGGCAGTTGTAGATTCACTAGTATGAAACACTAACACGTAGTGGTAACGCCTAACTACTCTGAGAGAGGGGCTCATAAATATGTAGCTTGGAATAAAACCCGGAGCAAGGAAGATAAAAGCAGAGTAAAAAAGTGATAAAAGAAGAGACGAAGATTCTATGCGGTGTGAGAAGATTAGAAGAGCGAAAGACACCAGTGCAGACTTCATATTAAGCGAAAGAAAAAAAAAACTGATGAGGAAAAGACTGGGGTATCATCTCAAAAGAACAGAAAGTTTTCTTTTGTTATTCTGTGCTGGTGGGGAAAAAAGAAGGAAAAAATAACAGAAAAATGAAGCAGGCTTGCGATAAAACGAGACGGCGAATAAGAGAAGAATTTGTCTCTCTAGTAAGTTATTGCCATGTAAAAAAACATCAATAATGCCTTTACCAACATCTGGTGCGACCAGTGATCAGAACAGAGTTGGTGCGAGTAAGTCGGCATTCTAAGATTGTCTGCTGCGAAAGTGGCCTCTGGGCAATGCGGCACAACACGATCCCCAGTGCTAAAGCGAGGATAGCGGCAAAGGCAAACAACCTAGTTTCATCTAAGCCGCAGTAATTGCAAGCAGCACTATCTTCCAATACCGCGCGGAAGGTTAGGGATTTTCAAAGCGACACCTAGTAACAATCGACAGTGCACTGTTGCCCCGGCACAGGAAAGTCCCCATGGAGCAACATGTCCAAGAGATGGGTCCAGCCAATGTAGACGTGTGGAATGAGAAATTTTCGGAATGTGGTCTCTATTGCGTCATTGTACTTCAAATCACAAACAACCATCTAGCAGTATTTGACCATCTTTAATTGTGAAATGCAGTGGAAGTATTAAGAAATAAACATTTACAATGGGTCGTTCAGACACACACACACACAAAACATTGACCATTTGGTTACATAAAAAAAAGAGATATCAGTGGTATGCAAACAACGTGCGAGTGAATATAAGCATGTTTGCGTGGGCAATGCTCAAGTGCGTGTAGTTAGTTTGGCATTCTACTAAAGTTATTGCTTAAGACTTCGGTGCGCTAATACTAAAAGGAGAACGCAAGCACAAAGCGCCGAGTGCGCGCCACTGAATGTTTATTCGTCAGCAAAAACGTGAAAAAGGCACTTAACTTGCATTCGCCAGGCTGCTGTCTCAAGTCTCAACGTCCTTCGTTACCCTACTCAAAGACAATAGAGGGCTGTCATGCCAATGACAACAATAGCTCTTTCAGATGATCGCCGCTGGGTTTGGGACAGCACATGCGTGCACAATGCAGTTTTTTTTAGGCTGGAGACGCAGTCAGCCTAGGCATTCTCATCGCTACTCTCGTACTTACATCGATGATCAACCAATGGTATGCCGTGGTGGCTTATATACATTGTTGTTGCACCGCGAAACATGACAGAGTGGGTTCAATACACGGCCACGGCGACGCATTTTCATAGGGGTGAAGGGCGAAGTCACCCGTGTAATACATATTGCAACGTACAAGAGCAAGCCAACACGCCAACACCGTCCAGCACAATTCCATCATTTGTGTTATCTTTCACTAGATTACCTCTCATGCGCCAGTCACTTCGTCGGTATCATTCAGTACATCCCTCCCTCCCTTTCTCCCCTAAAGTCTGAAAAAGAAGGCGAAGAAACGTAAATACAGAAATCACGTGACGCATGAAATTTTATCTGGCTGACATGGGCTGCAAAACACGGTTTCAGGCTTTGGTATCCAGTTCTGGAATAACTTCCAGGTAGAACGTAACATGGCCTGAGGCTTTGACCATTCGAAAGAGATCCGAAAAGCAAGGAAGAAACTTCTGACAATGTTATGGATTACGCTGGGGCGTCCACCCAGCACTATAGGTCTCCTGGTTTGAAAGAGGTGTGATTTTCATGGGAAGGCGAGCAGAATCTCGCTTGGTGATACGCAATTGGTACACTCAAAAGCGAGCCTGCCGTAGGAGCTCTGAAGTATAATATATAGGTGCATTCGCGTTAAACAACATCAGAAGGTGAAAATTCATCCAGAGTGCCTCCCCATATATGGTGCGCCTCATACTCATTGATTGGCTTTGGTGCGTTAAACTACAGGTCTTAATTTTTTTTTCATAACCAACGCTACATGATTCTAAACGCGATCGAAGAGTGGGTACAAGCAAGGGGGGCCATGAAAATGGATGCCACGGGAACGCGCTGCTTTTCAAACGTCGCGGCGCGTTCTTTTCAGGTCAAACACGCCACGCCTCTTTAATTTAGCGCGTTTAATTAGAAAAAGTTGCTTGATTTGTAAGTTTATCATAATGGCTCAGCGTAATTTAGCCATTAAAATTT